CATTTGATGGATTCTTAAAAATGATTGTAGAATTGCAAACAGTAAATCCTCTCTGCTTCTGGAGTGGCAACATGTCAAACTCGTTAGCACTGCACATGAGTCTGATGCAATCACCACTCTCTCTGGCCTGACCTCCTCTACCCACTGTAACGCAATAACTATATGGCCATCATCTCACATGCAAACACAGATACCTCATCACTGAGTCTCTTCCCACACTCTAAATGGAATTCTGGGATCACTGCTGCTGCTGCTGTTCTACCAGTTTTAGGGTCTTTAGATCCATACATCTGTATTTAATTGTGGTAACTGATGTATGACTTGAAGATCTTACAGTTTCCCCAACGTTATCTCTCATCAGTTCAAGGAGGTCAAGATCAATTCCAGGCTGTGGCAGTAACCAAAGAGGAACAGCTGGACCACAGCTGGAGAATAACTCCTATAACCTAATTCACTAGCCTTCTTCTGAACAACCCAACCAAAGCTCTTTGTTGGCCTGTTGTCATGTTCCCAGCATGGCTCAATTGCACTTATTGTTGGATGGTTGTTATGTCCTTGTAAACTGACCCAATGTGTCATCATGATCTGGATTCTTCTCAACTCCAACGGCATTTCCCCCATCTCTACCTGCAATGCCGGCACAGATGTTGTTTTAAAGACCCCACTACATATTCTTGACGCTTGTATTACATCCAGTTTTCCCAACAAGGTTTTAGACGCCGACCTATATTCCACACAGCCATAGTCTAGAACTGATCTTGGCTAAGTGGAGCGCATGGCCGTCCTTTAATCAGAGGATCGGCGGTTCGATCCCTGGCTCCGCTAGGAGCATGTCGATGTGTCCTTGAGCAAGACACTTAACCCTAAAATTGCTGGTCTTTAAGTTTGGATGTCTTTTTATATATTTAACTATGTTATTATTATAATTGAGGATATAAGATTGGGCATATTTTACTTCCTGGATGTCATATTTATTTAAACATTTATATAAATAAATATATGTGAAGATAGCGTCATTTCTAAATCATACAACCGTAAATTTAAGAAATTTAAAAACTGAACCAACTGTCCAAACATCACAGCGACATAAACAGGCTCCACACGGAGGAAAAGCAACGCTGCAAGTTTCCATCAGTGACAATTGTGCTTTTCTTTTAATACGTGTTGTGATGCTTCACAATCATTAATCGATGGACACATTCAGTGCTCTGACTGAAAACATGTTGACATCAAGTAGGATGTAGGCTTTCTCAATAAATATCTTTATTTACAGATGCTAAATAAATAACCTTATATATTATTATTGTTATTGCACAAAATGAGACTAATAGCCAACAATCTAGCATTAAGTATTACAATTAGACAGAAAATTAAGATTTAAATTTGTTTATACTATATTTATCCTGTTAATTAAGGATACATTTGTCTCTGCATTTGACCCATCCCTATATATGGGGATGTCTTTGACAGGTGACACATGACACGTTAAAAGGCCAAGGCTCAAACAGCCGACCTTGTGGTCACCAGCCAACCCTCTTAACGGCCACGGTCGCCCACCTTTTCCACTAAAGAAAATCTAAGAGCCAATCAGCTCTTTGATCCGAAGACAGCAAGAAGTTTCCCATCATGCCCTGGGGTCACGCAGTCGGTGGAGAGCAACTGCAGCGCCTGGCTCTAAAATCTGCGGCCGCCTCGCTCACGTGAGATCATCGTTACGCACGTTTTCATGACGTCAGAGCAAGTCGGACGCAAATCTACCCAGCATGCATTTTGCCCCGATCGCCGGTGATCGATTCTGCGCAGGCCTGGCTCAAGTCGAACGAGCCTAATGTAATACTCCAGGCTGAACACACGTGAGCCGTCTTTGTTTACGTCTCCATGCGTCCACTGGTTACCCGTGTTTAACGTCACATTGCAATGATTTGTGGGTAATTCCCTTAGGCTAAGTCAGCATCTAATGACTTAAGGAAAGGGTTCATAAAGGAAACAAAATATCTGCGAGAGAGCCCTCAAACACTTGACGATTTGACAGACAGAACTAAACACTCACGGACTTCGCGGGAGCGCGCCTCAAAGTCCGTGAGGGCGGACATTGGCATTGGGTCTCTGCTAGTTTATTTAAAGTCTGTCTTCCTGGTTCTCTGCTTCTCGTTTCCTGCTCCTCTGACGACACCAGCTGTGATTGGTGGAGACCAACCACAGCTCCTCGGGGGCGGGCTCTTGTGGTGCCTTCAATGCTGTAGGAAATGTCTTATATTAACGTTTTTGTATTGTGGAATAAAAAAAATCCCCTTTACAAATCAAATACACTAAAGTGACACTATGTTTGAAACAAAATACGTTTTTACATGAAATATCAATAGAATAACATTGCAAATCAAGTTACATGAGATCAAGTTAAAATGTGAATGAACTCCGTTATTGATTACTTACATCACTTTTATATGTTTTAAGTCTAATCTATTTCTCTGTAATCTGAACACTGATCTTTGATATTTTATCGTCTTGTGAACTAGTTTCTTTTCTTTTAAAAGCATCAAATTTAAAACATGTCACATGTGAAAAGTCAGTCATATATTCACATGTGAACTGAGAGACAACACATGTACAAACATTTAAATATTTTAAATGTAAACCACTTTAAAATAAACTCCAGTGAAGAAGCTCATGAGATGCGGTTTAAAGCTCTCGTAAAGCTCATTTAAAGGACTTTGATTAAAGATTCATTTACATGTGATGAAGTAAAATATCACATTTATCTATTTTAACATTATATTTACTCTCAACACTGTTATTTTTAATTTGGTTCTCTCAAATAAATGTGTTTTCATAATAATGAAAAAGCTCTTTAAACAACAACACATTAAAAGTGTCATGAAGTTTGTGTTTTTATTGTTAGTAGAAGAAGAAAAGACTCATGGACACTTTGAGGTTAAAATAAGGAGACTTGTTTATTTCACTTCATATATAGTATTGCTAATAACACATCTATGTTCATCTAGAGATCAGAGAGGGTTGTAATATAGTGAGACTTGCTCTCTCTGGGGACAAGGAATACATGATGTTCTGTTTGGACACATAAGATGTACTACCTTCAAGAATGAGAGGAAGCTTGTTGAAGTTACATCACTCTTTTCAGAGTATTGTTTCATCAACCTCTAGCCATACTGGAAAGAGAACACTACAAACACCACCCTTAGGATAAACTCCTACCCACAGTCTCCTAACTCACATCAGCTGTGTGTGATCCTGTACACACTGAACTATCTGGTCAGCAGAGAGAAGGTTTCTCTAGCACAGTGGTTCTCAAACTTTTTCTGTCACGCCCCACTTTGGAGGAAGAAAAACGTGCATGCCCCACCGCCCCAACAAAATTGTAACAAAATGGTCCATGTTGAATTTCTATTGAAATAAAATTTTGTGACTCCATCTGTGCTTTTTCAAATAATATAATAAAGAAAATTGCAATCACTTTCAAGTAAACCAGATTGCTCCATCAGACAGCAATTCACTTGTTTTGCACTGAATATCTTTCCAAGATAATAACAAAAAACTGCAACCTGTGAAAAACTAAACAAAACAAGTTCAAATACTTGGCAATAAAGAGTTTTACTGAATTTTACTCCTTGGAGCAGAGGCTGCATTTAGCATACCCTGCCTTATTAATGCATTTAAAATACTGTGACAGCAGGAAGCTGTACTCACGTCTGTTTAGACCGCTACCTTTATCCAGGCCCAGCTCCACCTTTATCCAGGCCCAGCTGCACCTTTATCCAGGCCCAGCTCCACTCACATCTCAGCCCTGCGTCAAGCTGCGCTACACAACCAGCCTCCTCTCCCTGAAGCTCTTTGACCTCATCATCGCATCAGTATCTGAGCTGCATGTTACATCACGTTATTTCCTCCTAAATCGCGATACTGACAAACGTTAACAGTCGACAAAGTTCTGCATGCAGTGGCCGTCAGCCTTAACCCAGCAAGTCTGAACTGTAACAGAACTTAAACTTTAACGGAGGGAAAGACGGTGATTGGCCAAGACTCGACACATCAAAAATGTTTTATTGCGAAGATCACGACATCATCTTTTCTCTTCGTCTCACTCCAATCTGAGAAACGCTGGCTGGCTGGCCGGCTGACACCCCCCCCCCCAAAAAAGAAAACGCTACGGATCTACATGATTCACGTGGATATATTTTGATTCAAAACGGCGAATTTCGCCAAAAAGCGACAAGTTTGCAGGTACGAAAAAATTCTGCATTTCCCCCTGCGCCCCACTTGCAATACCGCTGTGCCCCACAGTTTGAGAACCACTGCTCTAGCAGGAGGAGACTCTCCCTCCTACAGAGAACACAGAGACAATGAGGAACCAGAACTCAACCAGAACCCAAACCCAGGATAAAGAGGTTCAGTGAATGTGGTGTTGAAGGTGTGGAGGTGGATCAGTGTGTCAGAGGAGACTCTGTAGAAGGACAGAGAGCCAGCAGGACAGTCCACATACACTGCTACTCTACCAGAGGGAGAGGAGGAGGAAGAGGAGGAGGAAGAGGAAGAGGAAGAGGTGGGTGTTCTTGCCTTATTGTGAAGGACATAGTAACCATCACCATAGCACCACAGACTCCAGGAATGATCATTCCTTCCAAACCAACCATCCTCACTGTCTCCTTTCCTTCTGATTCCTCTGTAACTCACTGATATAGCAACTCCTCCTCTCCACTCGACCTCCCAGTAACAGCGACCAGTCAGACCAGTTCTACACAGCAGCTGAGGCCAGACATCAAACCTGTCTGGATGATCAGGATATGACTGAACCTCTCCCACACGTGTCACCTTCCTGTTGTTGTCAGACAGTGTGAGTTCTCTGTGTACTGTGTTTGTGTCGAGTGTGAGTTCACAGGAATCTGATGGAGAGAACAAGACACAATACAGCTGCAGTTATTAATCTATCATCTGTTTGACAATGACAGAGATGAATGAGTGATGTCACAGTTTGAAGATGCTTTGTTTTCATGAATCAAACTCAAAGCACACTTACACTTCCTCAGACCTGGTCTGAACCATCGGACTCCAGCAGGCTCCACCCTGAAAGGAGGAGGGAGGTCAGAGCAGCATGGAAACATGGACATTACATCGCTCTCACACACAGAGCTTTGTTATTCATGTTCACATGGAGCACTTATTATTCATCAGCTCATATTCTTTTACTTCACTGGAGCTTCTTCTGATTGGCCCATGACGACAGCTCATTATGTTCACTTATTCATGATATATTATTATCAGTATTATATTGACCATCATCATCCATTTCACACTCAATTTCCTCTACCAGTCAGTCAGTAAATCACATGTTTAAACCTGCATCAATTGATTTCTTTGTCCACTTGTGGTTCAGTGAAAACAAGCTGTGAACACAACATGTGACATATCAGCTTATAAAGTAGTTGGGTCGCCAATCCTGGTAAGATTCCTGAGTTTCAGGATAAAGTTCAAACTCTTCACCTCTCCAGACAAAAGGGCGAGCTCCTCATCAACAACACCAGGATCCACTTGTACCCCGACTACAGTGCAGAGAGTTTGAACACATCAAAAGGAAACTTGTGGACATGAACATGGACTACTCGCTTCTCTCTCCCTCTGTTCTTCACGTCAACTGTGAAGAAGAAAAGGATGCAGAGGACTTTATGAAGGAGGTGGAGAGACGTCGCTCTCAAATTCACTTCAAGCCATATGTGAACCAACAACCTTATGGTGAAGTAGACCATTCACTTTATAACCCTCCCTCTTTACGTTCTGATTGTGAGGTTTTTTAATTGATGAGAGTAGAAGAAGAACAATATATAACATCGGATGCTGAGCATGATGAACTGAACAAAGACTCTAAACAAAGACTCTTTCGATCCTTTGCATGATCTTAGTATTTCTGACATCATCATAGATGCTCACATGTACTCCATCTACCTCAAACATTTAAAAACGGACAGGGAAGGTAAAGGTTTGAACGTTGTTATCTCACTAACACTGCATTCTGTCCTCTATCTTCCATAACCCGGTACCTGCAATGGCGTCCCGGTGCGATTCAAGATGACCCCCGTTTCTGACCGACAAAGAAAAGCCACGTCAAGGTCTTGCTTTACCACCCGACTCCGTCTCCTCTGCAAACGAGGTGGACATCCTCCTCAGCTATACACCTCGCACCCCTTCCTCATCGGAGCAGCTACCTCTGCAGCCACTCTGGTCCCAGCATCTACACTGGAAGCTACGGGTCGCTGGTCCTCAGCAGCTTACGAACCGAGAGTCACAGATGTTCATTCTGTACACATGACATCTATTGCACTTCTGTCCATCCTGATAGAGGATCCTCCTCTGTGCTCTCCCTAAGGTCTCTTCCTCTTTCTCCCTGTTAAAGGGTTTTTTGCCGTTGGGTTCCGTTGTTGCTCGGTGCTCCCAGTCTTAGCTTGGTAGCTGCTGGCTAATCAGGGGAGCATTCAAAGAGAGGAGCCATCATCGCCAAGTTTAGCTGCATTTCTATTTGTTGCACGAGACGAGAGTGTTCCTGACTGAAGTAGCAGAAAGAAGAAGAAAATAATATCTGAACAGAAAAACCTAGAGGCAGAATTACTAAGTTGTGAACAGATACAAACATCCAACTAAAAAGAACTACAAATGAGTGTTGTAAGGGCTGCTCTTAATACTTAAGCAGCAAACTGAGAAAATCTCCCAACAAACAAACTGAGAAAATATTATTTACTAAAAAACAAAAGGTTGTATGAATATGGGAACAAACCAGGAAATGTACTCTCTAACATATAAGTAACCATAACTCTGTCTCATGTCTGAAAACCTCGAGCGGAAAATGTTTGAAATCTGAGGAGATTAATGCTATATTTACTAATTATTACAAATCACTGTATACATCAGAAATACATAAAAGTGACTCTCAAATAAACAGCTTTCTAGACAACAACAAGAGGCTTTGAATAAGTCAATTACATTTATAGAGAGAGGAAGCTATAGACGACATCCCCTCTGGGAAAGATGGCTTTCCCCCAGAAATATAGAAAGTATTCAAAGACAGTTTTATTCCACTCTTAAGTCAAATGTACAAATATTCCTTCCTGAATCAAAAACTACCTGAATCAACACAGACTTGACACCAAAGCCAGGTAAAAACCCAGAGGAACCGTCCTCATATAGACCAATTAGTTTGCAATGTGTGAAACTAAATATTGGTCAAGCTTTTAGCTAAAAGACTCAACCCCATCATACCCACCATCATCGGGCCTGATCAAACAGGATTTGTGCAAGGTCGTCGTTCCTACACTAATGTGAGGCGTTTATTGGGGGTCATTCAATATGCCAAAAACAAACCTCTAGACTCTATGGTGGTCTCCTTAGACGCTGAGAAAGCGTTCGATCGAATGGAAATATATGTTCAACGTTTTGGAAAGTTTCTCTCTGGGTAACACATTTATAAGTTGGGTAAAATGGCTGTACACCTCTCCACAAGCAATGGTTATGGCTAACGGTCTCACTTCACCCCGGTTCACTCTCGGGCGTGGCACTCGTTAAGGTGGTCCACTGTCCCCACTTCTGTTTTCCACTGCCATTGAACCTCTGGCCGAGGCTATTAGAACACACCCACATATTAATGGTATTAACAGTGGGGAAAAGAAGCATATCATGTCGTATGCGGATGATATACTGCTATTTCTCTGCAACCCTAAACAATCAATTCCCTCTGTGCTAGAAACAATCAATGAATGTAGTAGTCTCTCTGAATATAAGATCAATGTGGGTAAATCTACTGCCCTACCACTTGGAAGCAGTAGAGACCCAGATAACGGTATAATATCTCCATTTAATTTGTCTTACAATGGCTTTAAATATCTGGGAATCCATATCTCCTACCAACTGGAAGATCTGGTGAAGATGAATCATCCTCCTTTCCTTAAACAAGTTAAACTGGATTTACTAACAGTCAAGAATGGTTTCTATGATCTGTAATCTGGGGGTGAAAATATATATATATAGTTGAAGTCCGTCTGCAGCCACAATAATGTTTGGACTAAAGGGCAACAGACACTGGTGGCAGATGACCAGCATCAAAACATCAATCTATTGTTTGATATGAGCCCACAAACCTGCAGCGCGACGACGTTGACTCATGTCAACCCACCATGATAACGGTCAACGTGTCAGGATACACCACTGTCCTATTTTTCTAATGTTGAAACAAGACAACGCTCCAGAAAAACAACAGTTTCATCACCTTCCCTCCCTGTTTTGGCTCATCCTGGCTACTCTTCCCTGACTACTTCTGTCTGCATTGATGGTCTGATGTGGGACACAAACAGTTTGATGTGTCTCTGGTAGTTTGAGGTCAGCTTGGTGTCTCAGGGTCATATTAACCAGGCTGACAGTGTGATAGAGAAAAAGTTTCCAGCTCTACCGCCTCCATCAGACTGATTGCTGCAGCAGGCCTCTTCATACCTGAGAGTTTCCAGTCTCCGGCAAGGATCCTCCAGTCCAGCAGACAGCAGCTTCACTCCTGAGTCTCCTGGATGATTGTAGCTCAGGTCCAGCTCTCTCAGATGGGAGGGGTTGGAGGTCAGAGCTGAGGCCAGATAAGCACAGCCTTCCTCTGTGATCAGACAGCCTGACAGGCTGCAAACACACAAAACAACACACGTCACGTAATGTGAGGGAACTGTGAGGGCTGAAAGGTTACTGCAGTACTGCGATACTGTCGGCTACTGTGGGGTTACATTAACATTGTTATTGATTGTTTTCCAGCCACAACCAAACACTCACTAATGTCGATCAACAATCTGACAACATTACTGCTAACTCTTTGATTCTTCTCTGAAATTTGTTATTATAACAGCAATGAGAAAAAAAGACTATAAAATATGTTTTATTAATATTTTTAAAATAATAGAAACAAAATTGGTTTAAAACCACGCAAGCACAGACACAATCTTATGCAGGTTAAGAGTTTATCCACCAATGTAAATCAGGATTAAGGTGGTCATCAATGGAACATATTGATGAATCCTGACCTGAGAGTTTCCAGTTCTGAGTGTGGAGTCTCCAGTCCAGCAGACAGCAGCTTCACTCCTGAATCCTTCAGGTCGTTGTTACTCAGGTCCAGCTCTCTCAGACTAGAGGACTGGGAGCTGAGAACTGAAGACAGAGCTTCACAGCTTCTCTCTGAGAGGTTACAGTCACTCAGTCTGAAGAGACAATGATGAAGAAAAATAAACAATAAGTAGAAAAGATAGCAGCATATTTAAGTTATGATATATGAATCTAACTATCTGTACTTACAGAGCTCTGTTAGAGGCTTTGACCACTGGCAGCAGCCTCAGAAGAGCCTCCTCTGAAGCAGAGTATTTCTTCAGGTCAAACACATCCAGATCTTTTTCTGATGACAGTAAGATGAAGACCAGAGCTGACCACTGAGCAGGAGACAGTTTATCTGTGGAGAGACGTCCTGAACTCAGGGACTGTTGGATCTCCTCCACTAGAGAACCATCATTCAGTTCATTCAGACAGTGGAACAGATTGATGCTTTTCTCTGGAGACACATTCTCACTGATCTTCTTCTTGATGTACTGGACTGTTCTCTGATTGGTCTGTGAGCTACTTCCTGTCTTTGTCAGCAGACCTCGTAGGAGAGTCTGATTGGTCTGCAGTGAAAGACCCAGGAGGAAATGGAGGAACAAGTCCAGGTGTCCATTTGGACTCTGTAAGGCCTTGTCCACAGCACTCTGGTAGAGACGTATTGGTTCAGGTTTGTCTCTAAAGACTTTAGACAACCAGGAGGTTGTTTGTTCTTCTGACAGCAGATTGACTCCAGAGTTGATGAAGGTCAGATGGACATGAAGAGCAGCCAGAAACTCCTGAACACTCAGATGGACGAAGCAGAACACCTTGTCCTGGTACAGTCCTCTCTCCTCTCTAAAGATCTGTGTGAACACTCCTGAGTACACCGAGGCTGCTCTGATATTGATGCCACACTCTGCCAGGTCGGATTCATAGAAGATCAGGTTGCCTTTCTGCAGCTGATCAAAAGCCAGTTTTCCCAGAGACTCAGTCATCTTCCTGCTCTCTGGACTCCAGCGTGGATCTGTCTCAGCTCCTCCATCATACTTGACCTTCTTCCGTTCGGACTGAACCACCAGGAAGTGGATGTACATCTCAGTCAGGGTCTTGGGCAGCTCTCCTCCCTCTCTGGTCTTCAACACATCCTCCAGAACTGTAGCAGTGATCCAGCAGAAGACTGGGATGTGGCACATGATGTGGAGTCTTCGTGAGGTCTTGATGTGGTAGATGATCCTGCTGGCCTGCTCCTCATCTCTGAATCTCTTCCTGAAGTACTACTCCTTCTGTGGGTCAGTGAACCCTCTGACCTCTGTCACCAAGTCAACACAGTCAGGAGGGATCTGATTGGCTGCTGCAGGTCGTGTGGTTATCCAGAGGCGAGCAGAGGGAAGCAGTTCCCCCCTGAAGAGGTTTGTCAGCAGCACATCCACTGAGGTGGACTCTGTAACATCAGTCAGTACCTCATTGTTGTGGAAGTCCAGAGGAAGTCGACACTCATCCAGACCGTCAAAGATGAACAGAACCAGGAACTCTTCAAACCTGCAGATTCCTGCTTCTTTGGTTTCACTGAAGAAGTGATGAACAAGTTCCACCAAGCTGTACCGTTTCTCTTTCAGCACATTCAGCTCTCTGAAAGTGAATGGAAATGTGAACTGTATGTCCTGGTTGGCTTTGTCTTCAGCCCAGTCCAGAGTGAACTTCTGTGTTAAGACTGTTTTCCCAATGCCAGCCACTCCCTTTGACATCACTGTTCTGATTGGTTCCTCTCTTCCAGGTGAGGCTTTAAAGATGTCTTCTTGTCTGATGGTTGTTTCTGGTCTGTGTGGTTTCCTGGATGCTGTTTCAATCTGTCTGACCTCATGTTCATCATTGACCACTGCAGTCCCTCCCTCTGTGATGTAGAGCTCTGTGTACATCTGAGTCAGAAGGGTTGGGTTTCCTGCTTTAGCAATCCCCTCAAACACACACTGGTACTTCTTCTTCAGGTTAGATTTGAGTTCATGATGACAAACTGCAGCAAGTCCTGAATGAACACACAACAAAGAAGATCAATGAGTCAAAGAATAGATTTCAACATGTCATTTCCTCAAAGAATGAGTCTATCTCTTGAGACATTAGTAATCGTCCCATTTATCCAGCATGTTAAGGGCGACTGTGGCTAAGTGGATAGCAGGGCCGTCCTTCAATCAGAGGATCGGTGGTTTGATCCCCGTTCCGCTAATCGCATGTCGATGTGTCCTTGAGCAAGACACTTAACCCCAAAAATTGCTCCCGTAGCTGTGCCCACGGTGTAGAATTGAGATAGAATCTGAATTGTAAGTTTGGATAAAAGCGTCTGCTAAATGACTGTAATGTAATGTTAAATCTTTAGAGAAATCCTCTTACTGCTCTGCAGACAGTCAGCCAGCTCCTCCTGCTTCATTCTCCTCAGGAAGTGCAGTGTGATCTTCACAAATGCCTCTCTGCTGCTGCTCCTCCTCTGCTCTTCATCCTCACTGTCCAGCACCTCGTCATCCTCCCTCTCTAAGCATTCTGGGTAATCTGAACTCACAACCTTCTGGATCTTCTTCAGCTCTTTCTTCACAAAAGCAACGATGTTCTCCTCCAGCAGCTGGAACAGAATATTCTATGAATGACACAAACTAAAACCATGGAACCAAACATCAGATCCATGTTGGACAGACTGACAATCCACTGGTCTACAAAGTGCAGCATGGAGATGATTGTGAACAGAATAGATGTAAAAGTAGTTGTACATGTACAGACCATAAATATGGAGTCCTGGTGTGTTTGATGCTGCTGGGCAGACTGACCTCTGGGAACCTCTGAGCTCTCCTGGTCCTCTCTGTGGAGGAATCATGAACAATCAGCTCACATTGTGTTTGTACCATTAACACAAATACAACAATCAGTTAAAGATGTTGTGTTCTGTCATGATTGATCACAATGAAAACCAGATGCTAAACAGATTCTTATCTCTGCTTTTATTGGACAGTAAAAGTTATTTTATTGGCAGCACGGTCTACTCCAGGGGTCGGCAACCTGCGGCTCGGGAGCCACATGCGGCTCTTCAGCCCCTCTGTTGCGGCTCCCTGAGTCTATATCGGGGGTCCCCAACTGCCGGATCCGGACCCAGGACCTAAACTCGATTGATAATTCGGAATTGTACATATTAGGCACTGAGTTTATACTTTAACCGGCGCATCTTATTCAGCCGTTACGGCACTTGTTCAGCGGTGCAGGAAACGCACCGACCAATGCATTGCAAATCATATCACGTGATGCAGCTCAGCCAATCAAATACGAGTATTCTGACAAGTTTCCTGACTCGAGCGAGGTTTACACACACGTGACACACGGGGCTGAGACGAGGAAATAGAATGAAGAGCAGGGAAATTGCGCTAATAGAAGTTATCTCACATGACTCTCTCCAAAAAGAGAAATGTGTTCAGAGAATATAATTTATAAGCAAGAATGAACAGAATCTTATATGTTAATTATTCCCACAGGCAGTTAAATCCTCTACCCCTGTCAAGCGCTTTTCCCTGCAGGTGGCTAATCATGATTTTCAGACCCTCGCCCTCTGTAAACCATCAATGGATATATCCAAAAAAAGAAAAGTCACGGAGGAAAATAGACAGTTTAACTCTGCGTGGACGTATTCATTTATTTTCACTGCCAACGATGCTGGCTTACCTGTATGCTTGATATGTGCAAAAAATGTAATGTTGAAAGACACTTCCAGAACAAGCACACAGCATTTGCTGAAAAGTGTCACGCTGGAGATGAGCGACAAAGAGCGATTTCTCAGCTGCTGCAGCAAACTGAGCTCTTCATAAGAGTTTGATATTGTTCTAACAGGTAAAATAGCAATAAAATGTCAAGAATTGTCTTTATTCTTGTTCTATATTTTTATAAATACAACAAACTATAGTTTTTGTATATATAATATAACTATATATAAAACTTTATAAGCTGTGATATCAAATAGCTTTTGTGGCTCCAGACGAATTTTATTTGGTGGAAAATAGGGCAAAATGGCTCTTTGGATAGAAAAGGTTGCCGACCTCTGGTCTAGTCAAAGATTATATCGTAGGTCAAATTAATACCGGTTTACTTTATATACCTTCGACCCCGAGATACAACTACAACTAGAAACACATCTGATGTGATACTTTTTCATATTTGGTGTAGTTTCTATTCTACCATTGTGTTGTTAGTCAGATGTACCAAGACGTAATACTGTTGATCTGTCACATCATTGAAACAAAGGGTCTGTGTTTGGTTTTGTCCACAGCACCATTGGGGAGACTTCCTCCTCCGAGTCTTTCTAGTCTCCAGACCTCTGCAACTAGAGTTAGGATTATGTCCAGAATGCTACTTCCTGTCTGATGTAAAACCTACAATTAGTTAAAGATATTTCGTCATGTCATGATCACAATGAGAAGTTAGATCATAACGATAGATCAAAGACGAAATGATAGACGACCAAATTTGTATCTGTGTAACAGTTAGTCATCTGTTTCAAGAACTTACTCTGGGTCATAAGAACGGCGTCCATCTTTGAAGTCAATCGGCTGACCTTTAGACCGACCACTCTTCATGGACACACAGCTGGGTTCAGGAGACTTTTCTCTCTGCTGCTGTGAACTGATAGAAACACTGACATTTACTCAACATACAATCTTCATATCTCTGCTTTAACTGGTTTTATTGGACAGTAAAAGTTATTTTACGGACATTAAAATGTGTCTTTAATGACAAAGAAGACATGTTTTATGGTGACTTGTTTGCTTATTCAACCAAATAGCATCACAATGAGACACAATGACCGTTTACATGCACACTCATATTCCTCTATTATTCAGAATGTGACGTTAAAAGTTATTTCATTACAATTAAATTTGTCTTTGAAACTCGTCTTGCTTATGCTTATTCAACATGGGATACTTGTATTTCGTGCAGCTTTTTTTGAACCAGTGTGTTGTTAGTCAGATGTCTTCAGAATGAAGACTGTCGACCTGTCACATCATCATGTATGTGGTTTGGTTCACTCCTGTCTGATAAACTAACATCCATGTTCTCCAAACCACATCATCATGTATGTGGTTTGGTTCACTCCTGTCTGATAAACTAACATCCATGTTCTCCTACACGGCTTCTTTAAACTGGCTCCCAGCCTCAGCTCACATCAGCTCCAGACTCTGGTGCTGGTCTACGGGGAAGTGAAGGGAACTGGTCCTTCCTACTTAGGAGCCGTGGTCAAACCCTACACTCCTCTACCTCTGGACGTTTGGCCGCCCTGTCCCTCAGAGGACCCTGTGGTCTCATCTCCATCATCACTCTGTTCTGTTCTGGTCCCACAGTGGTGGAATAAAGTACTGAAGTCAGGACAGCAGAGTCACTGAACATCTTCCACCACCATCTGAGAGCCATCTGTCACACGACACCTTCACACACCTGACGTACATCTCATGTCTTTAACATGTTAAAACGTAGCTCTCTAACACACTGTCACTTGTTTATTTGGGGATGTACTTTCATGTTCTCATGACATGTACCTGACGTTCTGGTTCACTTTGACTGCTCTGATTATAAATCACTGTGGACTAATGAACTCTGTCCCTCATTGGTTGTCTGAACTCAAACACACTGTCCTGGTTGTAGTCTGGACACATATTAGGTAATAAACCAGTTCCTGTTTAATCCAGGAAGTGACTGATCACTGATGTAGTTCTGGTTTTACTACTTCGTTACTTTTCAATAAGCAGGACAAACAGCAGTATCATCACCTGTCTACTGTTCTTTACAGAGTACTTTAATATCAGCAGTAGAAGACCAGTTCTACTGGGAAGCTGTCAGGTACATGTTAAATGTGATTAAACTTACTCTGCAGAAGAAACTTCTCCTCCTTTAAAATCGATGCCATGTTGGTGTGACTGGTTAGTCTCAGGGGACACACAGCTGGGTTCAGGTTCAGGTCCAGGGGCCTCTGGTCTCTGATGGATCCTGGCACACAGAGGAAGACCAGCAGGGAAGGTAATTCAGTTTTTAGTCTTCAGTCTCAGCAGCTGTTGGACAAACTAGCAGCTGTCAACAAGAAAAGGATGAATACAGCAATGTTTTATTATAAATATATTGTCTCTTAAGAATGTGTGTGTGTGTGAATGTGAAGATTATGAATAAAGAAGCTGTAATTATGTGACACGCAGCATCTTCTAGCACAGCTGGGATTTGAACTGATGACGTTTAATCAACAAGGTTCACACTGCACCAAGAAGCTAATGCCAGACACAGAGATGCATCTACAACACACTATTGTATTATTGTAGATTAACACTTTAATGTACAAGTATAAAAAGAACAAACATGATCCGTGATGATTCCTCAGAGCTCAAGATGTCGTCTTGAAAACAGTTCAAAACCCAAAAATATTCAGTTTACAGCGATTGAAAGAAGAGAAGAAGCTGATTGTAGAAAGATAAACTCAGAACATTGGAAGAGATGAATTAATGAATGTTTCTTGAACAATTTCTGAAGTGTGAGTGAATTATTGAAGGTGTTCATCTGTAAAACAAGGTGAACAAAGTAATGAGTGTGAATGAAGCTGAACATGAAGTCTGTTGACTGAGTGTAAACCTCACTAAGTACCAGGGGGAGCTCAGCAGCTGAGGTAGAAACATGAAGCTCCACCCTCTGGACCTGAACACTGAGCCCTCCTCCTGTCACTCTGTGATGTGTTCAAGTGCTCTCTGTTAATAACACCGTCACACTGCTGGGTCCACAGGGTGAACACGAGGACTTCACTCGTTGACATGGATACAGCAGGACATGTGTCCTGTTGAACCTGAGATCATCTCACAGTTTGTCTAAAGAGCTCCAGTCAGCATTTGAATCAACAACTTTATTGAAAATGTTTAGTCTGCTGCTTCAGACAGTGAACGTTTTTTACTCCCGGTATCACTAGAGAACAACATAAACCTAGACCTCAGCAACTAGTCCCTAGACCTCTACAACTAGTCCCTAGTCCTCAGCAACTAGTCCCTAGACCTCTACAACTAGTCCCTAGACCTCAGCAACTAGTCAACAGAGAAACAGTCAACATCAAGTTAGTAAGAATGAATGTGTTGAAGGTAAAACAGGATCAAATGTAAAGAGAAGTATTGAGTGTGATACCTTTTCATGTTGCTGATAAGCTGCAGCCACCTGATGAAGACAGACAGACGGGTTCATCATTAGTCTTCAGTCTCATTAGGGCCCGAACACCGACGTAGTCGGAGCTGAGGACCTATTGTTATTCTAATGTTTATTATTAGGGCCCGAGCACCGACGTAGAGACACGCGCACTGAAGACTTTGTGACGTGTTGCTCTGTTCTTCTTCACTGGTGCTCCTCTGAAGTCCACTTGAACTAGTTTCTGCTGGACCTGAAGGACCAAAGAGTCCCTTAGTGAAAAGAGTCGCTTACTAACCTTTAGAAGCAGAGAAGAAGAAGCTGCGACATCAGGACCTCCAAAAGTGAAACTAAAGTGACACAGGAAACTGGGGTCATGTGGTCCGTCATCCGCGGATCCTCGGTCACGTCAGCCGGCACTTGAAATGTAATGCTCGTCTATTCGTGGTGCTACGGTACGGGTGCTTGGATAGCCCAAAAAGCCCGGAAATAGACCTATATTTCATCAATAATTTGCCCAATTTGTTAAAAAACAACGTCATTTTGTACATTATATGAAATCCAACAATAAAAAAATCTGAAATTACACTGCTGTATAATCTTTAATTGAAAAAGGGTTCGAAAATTATAATAGAGCTGATTTTACATCAAATTTTCTCAAAAACTGTATAGTAATATTACATTACATTTGACATGGAGATACATGGGGTCATCATGAACATAACTCCAACGGACATTTTAGCTAACCAATGAAGGAAATGTTTTTTTTAGAGATCAAAGATGATTATTAGGTAATATTATAATTTTCGAACCCTTTTTCAATTAAAGATTATACAGCAGTGTAATTTCAGATTTTATTATTGTTACATTTCATTTAATGTACAAAATTACGTTGTTTTTGACTTGTTATATCAAATGGGACAAATTATTGATGAAATATAGGTCTATTTCGGGGCTTTTTGGCTATCAAAGCATTTCAAGTGCCGGCTGACGTGACCGAGGTTCCGCGGATGACGGACCACATGACCGCAGTAACAGGAAGGGAGGGGCCGTCACGAGGACACCTACTCACCTGTAGTCCACCCACACAGGTGACTTCAATCACTGCTGTCCTCTCAGCAGGGTGGAACTTGATTGACAGCTTCCTTGTTCTACCTGTCGGGGGCGGGGTAACTTACCCACAATGCAGGTAGTTTGGTGACATCCCATAATTCACAGCTCCGCCCACCTTCCACCTGACTAGAGGTCTAATTATCAGAGTGATTGAAGACAGCTGTGTGGCTCAGCAGAGACTTACATTTGTAAAGTAACGAGTAACTGCAGCTGTCAGATACATGTAGTGCAGTACAAAGTACAACATGTACCTCTGGGATGTAGTGGAGTACAAGTATCAGGTAGTACAACATGGAGATACTGCAGTACAGTACAAGTACATCAATGTACTTGTGTACATGTGTCCACACTGGAACAGAGACAGAAATGTGTCTCCTGTGAAAGACTTGAGAGTTTGTCTCTGATATCACAATGATGGTTGTTTTGGAGCAGGAGGAGAGAATCATGGAGCTGAGACCTCCTTTAAAGGAGGAGTGCTGCTCCTCATGGAGGAGGATCTGGATCCCTCTGGTGGAACAAACATGAATCCTGTCACTTAAAGTGACAGATGAGAGGAAGTCCTCCACACATCAACAGTGACAGATGATTTGGTCCTGACGGGGGGGACTTTTTAAATGTGACATCATGTCAGCTCTGCTCAGTAGTTTGGACTCATTTTCTGTTTCAAACATCTGTCTTTGTGTTTGGGAGACGTCTTGTTCTGCCTTGGGGTGAATCAGTCTGAAGCTGAGTTCTACATCATTTATTAATTATTTTACTTTGTAATACTGCAGCTTCCTACATAGTACACACTGATGTGTGTACTTCTTGTTTGAACGTTTTGAGCAGTGAGATAACCAGAGAGCTTTATTTATATACTAACCACTAAATCAACTACGCTGAGTTAATTTAAAAAATTTTTTTTAAATTTATTAAAATGTGTCTCTGCATTTGACCCATCCCTGTATATAGGGAGCAGTGGGCTGCCAATGACAGGCGCCCGGGGAGCCGTTAGGGGTTCAGTGTCTTGCTCAGGGACACTTCAACACGTGACACGTCCCGGTCAAGGATCAAACTGCTGACCCTGCAGTTACCTGTCTGAAGACCTGTTGGTGATGAAATGTGTCGTATACAATACTTCATCACTTCACCTTCTATCTGTGCTGTACTCAATCATTACAATCATTTGGATGATACTATCAGGTATTTGTCCAAAGTCAATGTATTTGTAGTTCTCACAAAATAAAGATGTAGTTATTGTAGCCTATATCTTCTGTCTTTACATTTAGAACCTTACCAATGAAAACATAGTTATGAATATTATATTATATTTCTAACAATAAATCCTCCTAAATCTAAAACACTTGTTTCTTTAAAAGGTGATTATTTGTCAATGATGTGTTGACGAGTTTCTTCTACTCTCAAGTGGCCAAAATAAACAAAACTTGCAAGTTTAAGGTCCTGATTTAGTGACTGGATCTCCTAAATTGACTGAATTATGTGACTGTGTGTCTCTGAAGCAGCTTCTGCTAATGTTCTGTTTTATATGATAATCAAAGCTATGTGAGAACTGACAGTGTCTCATTTGACCTGCAGGCTTCTTCTTCTTCTGCAGCAGGATTCACCTGCGGGGCAGAGCTGGACGCGTCTGTCTGGGTAAGAAATCACAACAAGAGCCCAAAAGCTTCTGGAAAGATTTAATCTCACGTACTTTCACTGTTCTAACAAACAGTCAGGGTGATGTCAGATGCAGAAAATGCTGCTAAAATAACTCTGATCGATCATTGAGGCTAATATCCATGATGAGGTATCATGATCTTGAGAGGACACGTGGAACCGTCACCGCCTTAGACTCTGTGACGACTGTAACAAGAATGTTAATGACGCTGTGGTGGAAGATGACCCAAAACAGGAGGACATTAATGTGCATGCAGTTCTTTACCAACTCCTTAGAAGTGTGAAGTGAAACAAACCAGAGACTAAAGATGATTCTCACTCACTCTCTCTCTCTGTCTCTCTCTCTGTCTCTCTCTCTGTCTCTCTGTCTCTCTCTCTCTCTCTCTCTCTGTCTCTCTCTCTCTCTCTCTCTCTCTCTCTCTCTCTCTCTCTCTCTCTCTCTCTCTCTCTCTCTCTCTCTCTCTCTCTCTCACTCTCACTCTCACTCTCACTCTCTCACTCTCACACACACACGTTCAATAGAGCTTCCCACCAGAGCAACAACTCCACAGCAGGCAGAAGAAGTGTCGGGCTCACTGAGCTCACTGAAGTCTGGATTTACTGCGACAGTCTTCTTCATGAAACACAGTCTGGCTTTGTTTATTGATGCCCAATCAGCATTTAACTGAAGACAGGTCAGCAGCAAACAACACAGACTTGAGTTAGCTCAAATAATACTGCGTAACATCTCACACACAGTGTCTCAAAATATCTTTACATTTTATACATTTGGGTGAAGGGGGGGGGGGGTGTATAAGACAAAACATTTACCCACACACACACATGGTACAAAGGTACAATAAAAAAATAAATTATCACCTCGATAAACCAAAAAAATAAAATATTCATATTTGCTCTTTCTTATTCCACTTCCTGTTGCTGTCCAGCAGGGGGCGGTGCTGCGTCACAGCCGGGCCTCTGGAACTTTGTTGAAGAAGCATAAATGGACGAATGTGATTGGCCAACACTCGTCTCATCAGGACCAATCAGACGAGACGAGCGGTGACTTCTTCAAAATTAATTGAGCCCAATTCGGCTGACGGTTACAGGACCGTGAACTGTGTTTTCTCTGTCCATGTCGTGGCACCTTTGAGGCCGGACAATAATGAAACACACTTGAATTGATCATGAAGATTTAAACACATCATGTTTTACAAATTATCCAAATTAATGATTCTGAGGCAAATTATGATTAAAAAAAACCTTAAAATTATAGATATATTTTCCTGGAACACAGTTCAATGGAAACATTAATTTGATTAATTTTGCGCAGTTTGCCATATTGTGATTTTATCACATACATATATATATATATATATATATATATATATGTAAGAAAAATATTCCTCTTATTAAATATTCTTGTTATTCAACCATATCACACAGCCCTAACTTAAAGACGAATGCTGGTATTAATCTATATTTGTTTCTTATCGTCAACAAATCCCATCAAAAGACCAAAACCAACAACACGTTCCGACTTCCTGTCTCCGGCTCTCAGCCTCGAACCTGCATCTACAGGAATTCATTTAAAAACTGATCCCACACAACAATCCCACCACAAGGACCAGTAAGTATCTGTTTCTGGAGCTTCTGTAGCACACAATCCATTATTTATATTTTTTAACAAGCACTTAAAGGACTTCTCACCCATTGGCTTAAAAGCAGGAATTAAAAATTCGCTCTTGACATTTGAAAAAAAAAAAAAACAAAAAAAAAAAACAGCAACAGGAAGTAGTTCTGGAGCCATACGGACAGATTGTTTTTGTCAACAGCTGTTTCCAAAGTCAAGTTTAAATCTTCAGGGACGAGGTCTTAAGGCGCCGAGTCGCCGATTATGAACCACGAACATCCCCAAATAGTCTGAAGGTTCCCGTCACCTCTCTACAGTCGGCTAGCAAAGAAAATCACCCCCAAAATAATTTGATACAGAAACCTACATAGCCTCCAATCTCACTAAAATTCTCAATAATTTCCTAAAACAGCTGGTCGCTGTAGTTCTTATCAAACAGGAGGAAATAGAGCATTTGTTGGGGACTATTTTCTGCTGTGGATTAATCCACATTTGTGGCAGCAGGACAGTTTGTGTGCGCCAAAATAAACTACCGTGTGTGTGTGTGTGTGTGTGTGTGTGTGTTTTTTAATGAAGGAACATGTCAGGATGACGATATATCTGGCTCTGGATACACAGATAATACTTGTTCGTAGTATTAGCTTTATAGTTTGTTTGTTTGTTTTATTAATAGGATTTGTTGACAATAAGAGAAATATCAGCAGACCAGATTTGGGGAAAGTGACACTTATGCTGTACACAATAACCCAGAGGATGATTTTTACAGGACACGACTACTAACGATTTAGAATCAAGCCCCCAAAACGGACACACAGCGTTTTTCCTCTATATTCTCTCCTTAAAGCCTACTTCTACGTTGCACTTCATCGCCGTTCTCCCTGCGGGCGAAGCTGCCCTCTGCACCGCTGAAGAAAAAAAAAAAAAAAAAGTTGCCATCTATCATCGCCATCTATTGCTTCAACAGATGCTTGGATGTGTTTTTCTGAGCGCGTTGCCAAAGGTAACGCTAAAAGAGTCACGTTCACCTGTCCAGGTTTGGTTTTCTGTAGAGAAAGAGGAGTGAAGAGGGAGTGAGGAGGAGTGAGTGTTGGCCAACTTCAGTGGGACTCAGCTGATTGGTAGTTTCAGAGAGGACGCTCTGTCAGACAACTGTTCCCAGGATGTGTGTGCGCTCTTGTTCGTCTATCTTGTTGAGGATCAATTTGAGTTTTGGGAACTTGAGAGTGACGACATTTTTCTTGCTGGTCCTCACGTCCTTCAAAGTCTCACTTTGTGTTTTGGTTAAAGACCGATTCCACTCATATTTGTGTTTTTTGCTTATTCATATTTCACCTGGATGTTTGAGCTTCACTTCACCTTAAAATCCTGAGTTTAAAGATTCCATCCAGACACGACTAAAATCGCCCACTTTGAATATTAGTTTAGGACTTCTTACTAATTCTTTGACTTACGTTTACTACTGGTCCCAATTTCTTTTTATTGGACATCCAAACAAGCCGAGACACCTCTTTAACTCAGATTAAATGAGAGCACAGAGAAACTTCAGCAGACAAATGTAAAAACGTCCTTCTAGTGTAAAAACTCTGCACAAACATCATTCTGCACAAGTGAAGCTCAAACATCCAGGTGAAGAAATAAAAAGCTAAATATATTTGCGAGTGGAGGGGGACTTTAAGGTAAACGTTAATGGTTGAGGTCAGGGGCTGGGTAATGCATTATGTCAATGCAGGTCCTCACAAATATAGAAGTACAAATGTGTGTGTGTGTGTGTTTTGCAGAGCATCAGACAGACAGAAGTTCTCCATATCAGCTTGAAGAATAACCTTCTTCCGTATTTACTGCCAAACCGTCTCAGTGCTTGAGAACGAATCTGAACTAACAACAAGCTGTGTGTGTGAGAGTGTGTGTGTGTTTGTGTGTTCGGAGCTACGGCAGGTTGTCGTCCTGCAGGCTCTCCAGGATCTGGACCAGGCTCTCCAGTCCGAACACGTAGCCCCGGTCCGGCCCATCGTGCACGGCTGTGTCGCCGCGAAAACCCTTGAAGGTGGAGTGGGCGAAGTCGATCATACGCACGTCCACCAGGGGGGGCTGCTGGGGCTGGGGGGCGGGACGAGGAGGAGGAGGGGGAGGAGGAGGGGGGGAGGAAATTAAGCCGGGAGCAGTAGAGGAGTCTGGATGTGGGTGAGGCGAGGGGAGAGGTGGGTGGAAGGAGTGGCAGTCTGACTTGGAAGGTGGGGCCTTGGAAGGTGGGGCCTTGGAGGGGGAGGGCTTAGCCGTCAGTCCAGGTCCCTGAGAGGACAGTGGTCCCGTTTCACAGGGAGCGTCTGGGGCCGGAGGTGCGTGGGGGGGGCCGGGGCCACGGTGGGGCTCTCCGGGAGCCGCAGGGGTCTTCTGGTGCAAGGGTGCATGCTGCCCAGAGCTGAGGACTGAAGGGCCCTCAGGTTCCTACGGACAAGAGTCACAGTCGTGATCAATATGAAAACGTCAGCAGCGTAAAACCTTTATTTAATCAGGAAATCCTGCAGGGTACAGTGGAAAATAGCTCAGGAACGTAACATGGGGGAGTAAAAATGATCAAACATCTAAACCAGCCTTCCAATGAAAGTAACTAGCAGCACTAAAGATCCAAAAGTAGCTAAATCTAACGAGAAAGTCCTCAAATCTGCAACACCGACAGTCCATTTCCTCCAGGCTTCCCTCCAAAGACACTCCCTCCAAATGATCATGATGAACACAAACAACCAAGGTTGGCAGTGTTAGTACTTAATTGCGGATCGGGATGTGACGAGAATTTCAACATAATAAAAGAAGCTGCACCCTAGTTTTAAGGTGAGGCGAGCAGCAGGACAGTACAGGATATCTATAAATAGTCAAACACTGACGTGACGGTTGACTGAACCATCTTTTTCGAGACAGATTCGTGGCTTTATTTAGTGAATACTGGACTCACATTCATCAGGTGAAACACAAACACGACTCCAACTGAAAGATAATGTTGCTCCGTAACCGCTGCAACTGTTTGCTACCGAGCTCACCGTATCAACTGAAAATTTGTGTTACACGGCTATGATTTGATGCTTCAGTGAGACACATCTGAGAGGGTTTAATTCACGAGTTTATATCCAACAAACACAAAGTGGTGTTGTGGGTGGGAAGCCGGTGAGCGATCACAAAGAGACGTATACTTGTAACTGTAACACAACCATAAGACTGGTCGGTAATCCAGGCTTGGCTGCAGTTACTTTTATAGAATGTAAGAATAAATAAGAATAAATGAGCCCTAATCCAACCGATGAGCACATGATCACAGAGCCGATATATTTTGACACCTGAAGACACAGTCAGAGTGTTTTCCGGCTCACCTTTCCCTCATAGATGATGAGCAGTGAAGACGAGTAGAAGCGGTAGGACGCCTGCCTCTCCAGCACAGTCTTCAGGCTGCGAAGCTTATTCAGGATTGGCTCAAAGAGGTCCTGCCTCAGACCCTTTCCGTTGTGCATGTACTGCTGGAGGGCCTGGCGGAAGCCGTCGCTCGACAGGCCGCGGCCGTAGTACTTGCTCCTGCAGAGGTAGTGACCGGTGTTCAGCTGGTACACCTGCGGAGACAGAAACAGCTCAAACATCTGGCAACAGCATCAGCGCAAACTGCTCACACTTATATAACTTATATGACTAAATAACGGGGGAGAATGGATTCAATGCAGACATCGAGCTCTCGCTGTTGCTCTGCTTTTGAATGAGGAAGAGGGGAAAAAGATATTGTTCATTGTAGTACTTCTACAGTGTGGTATTGCTATTTCTAAAGATGCGAGTACTTCTTCCACCACGATTGACAAAGTACTGCTGGGTGTGTGTGCATGTACGTACACCAACTTATTGACAGTTTAAGTAGTACTTGTATTGAAAGTAATACTAGTGGATCTTAGTAGTGCTTTAAGTACAAGTAGTGGGAGTAATACTCGCAGTACAATAGGTTGTATTGGCAGTAGCAGAAGTATTATAAGCAGTATAACATAAGAAGTATCAAGACATCATCTGATTCTCCACCTCCCCAGAGATGAAACTAGAAAAGAATTAGAGAGTAAAATATAAAAGGCATGAAGACTATATTTCTCTGGCTCTTTGAGTTTTCTAAGCATTAGGAATCCTAATATTATTATGTTACTCTGCCCACTTTACCCCAGCACAAAATGGATAAATGAGCCTGTTTTATTTCCCCTACATCCTCAGGCTGTGATGTATTAGATGTCGCTGTCTGAGGTTGTCCTACCTGCATGCCACACACTCGCACTCCCAGCGACGCCGAAGTGCTCTGTTCACATTTCTTCATCTGCCGGGCCGCCTTCTCCTCGGAGGCGTCGTCTCCGTGCTGCCTGGTGCCCATCTTCAGGTCCAGGATGCAGGGGTACGAGAAGTGGTGAACCACGTTCTCCAGCAGCAGAAACTCTGGTTCAAACGATGCAGTTAAGGAGCAAACGTCTGTTTGTTGAGCGAATCGTCTCTGGTCTCAACACGAGCTAGAGATTTGGTTTTTACGAGGTGGAGAGACACACTACAGCTTGAATATTGCAAATGAGCCAATTCCAAGTTGCAGAGCTGCCACGTTTATATTAATATCTAATTTTGATCCATGTTCAGCTATTGTCAACAAAATGCAACACTTCCTGAGATTAACATCTGCAGCAAGTGTAGCGTTTTATCTTATCGTCGATAAATACGTATAAATGAGGCGTGAGCACGGACAGACGATGCAGCTGTGCCACACGTCACATTTAATTGACGTTGCAAATACACGAGGAGAGGAGGCGAGGAAAGGAACAGAGGATGCACAAACTGGGAAATGGGAAAATGCATCTGCAGAGAGAACCCCGTTGAAGGCTCGACTGGACACAGATGGACCTTGTTGAGGACAGAGAGCGTGCAGCTGTGTTTTCCAGGCAGCTGCTCTCTTTGAAGCTGAAGATCAAAACACGAGCTTTAACCCGATAACGCTCCCAGCCTCTTCCTCACAGTCTCACTGACATTTACATTCAGAGCCTGTTATTGAACCGGCACACCACTCCACTACTCGACTGTAAAAACTAGTTGTTCTGTTAAACATCAGTGCTTGAATACACATCACTTCTACAGCTACATTCGGGGTCACGGCGGTCGCATGTGCATAATATTAGTCACGGTTATTCTTGACTTTGATGAAAGAAATCTTAACATAAGATACATTACTAGTTTGTTTCCAGAGATTTCTTTTAACTTTGGAAGCTGTGGGAAAAAGAAGCTAGTAAGTGGACCTTTGTTTATGTATTTTTTGTCAAAGGGAAAACAAAAACAGTGGCTGTGATTGGTTGAGGAAGGATACTGAAGAGTTTGCGGTCCTTGGATTCGGACCTCATGCGGCTGAGCTGCTGTTTGTGGCAGCGGAGGCTCCAGGGGTTGTGGCTGATCTTCTCTGAACTCAAACCGCTGTTCCAGTCCAACATCTGGAAGGGAACGTCCGAGTGGATCTTTGGGTCGAGCCTCGGACTCTTCAGCTCTGCAAGGCTGCAGGGACGAGGAGAGAGGATCATTCATTAAAGAAAATCAACTGTTGGTTCACCCTCTGTTCAAAAATGTGTTCCTACAACAGATTTAAAGGTTTGTGGTGTTCACATGAATTTGAAAGAATTACTGTGACATTTTCTGTCCACCAACTGTTCAATAATTAACTATTTCACCACCGGTTCATCTTTCTAAATGTCCTTTTTCCCCCCCATACGCTCTTACTTCTCATTAGTGTCGGTGTCGTACGACTCCCTCCTCTCGGGACGCTCCTCCTTGTACTCGGACGAGGAGGAGGAGCGATGGAGGCTGCGCCGCGAGTGTTTCCTCCTCGGCTGCTCCCTCTCGGGGGGGTCGCGCTCCTCGTGCTCCGCCGTCCCCCCCTCCATGTTGCTCTCCACGTAGGGGTAGGCCACCAGGTTGATGTAGCCGTCCGAGTCGCCCTCGAAACAAACCAGCACCACACCTGACAAAACAAAAACCAAGCAGGGAGTTTAGAAATAACAGAAATATTTGTTACAGACACACACAGAGAAATATAACCCATCTTCTAAAACACTGAAATGTCTTAATTTCTTTACAGCAGAAGTAAAACTTCTCTTCAGTTCTTAGTAATGGAGGTCGGGTCTACATTATGTTCAGTCTAATCAGGTGCTGTCGAGCCTCATTGTGTTGCCACAAGTTGTCAGGTCTGCGTGTCAACATGTCTAACAATACCCGAGTGGATCACCTCTAATTATTTTTACACCTGCTGTTGTAAAAAAAAGGTCTCAGCGGTTCTGCAGCAAAATATCTGACGTGCTGCGAGTTTATAAATCCAGCAGATCTGTCAGGTCCAAATCCACTGAGGGGGCGTTTAGCATTTATATAAATAAACACGGAACACTTGTTCATTTAAAGATGACCCGGACGGTCGTCAGCTGATTGACCATGACGGTCAAACTCGCACTTGTGTGCTGCATGATGGATTTAGCACGCACGCACGCAGGCACACACACACACACGCACACACACAGGCAGCTGCTGCACACAGTACAGTCGGCCGCACACACATCATGTCGTCAGGTTGAAGAAGACAAAGCTCGCAATTTGTAACATCTGCAGATCTACATTAAGTCGAGAAGGAACAACTGTGTGTTGTTTTACAGATGTGTTTCGCCTCGTTTTGTTCTGAGGAAGTAAAACGTGTCACATAAAGTGGGACGTATTGCAATTAATTTCGGTAGCCTGGAGCACTTTTATTTTGAGATTTGTTTGAGTGAGAGAAGGTTCTGTAACTTTGGAGGAAATGCAAGTTATCTGATAGTCAATGTTTTGAATGGGATTTCTCATGAAAGAAAAGTTACAAACATGTCTTGTGTTTTATTATTATAGTTCTTAGAAAGAAAGAAATATAGCTGTTGTCAAGGCTAAACGATTGAACAACACCTTACTAATACTCCTTTCTAACAAAATGTGCACTTTTACGCAGGTATTTCAAACAGTGATGAGTGTGATGAGTGGTGGTAGTGATGAGTTTTATCTTGTTTCAGAGTTTGGATGACGCGTGTTTTACGACAAATTACTGCTCTATGTTTTGTTTGTTAATAAAAGGACAACAATTGTCCAAATCCCTGTTGATTTTATTTATTATACTGTTCTTTCACGTCAACACGCGTCCACCCGGTTGTCACGTCTCCATCGCTGCCGATCGGGGCTGGAGCCGACAGATACCGGTGATGACTGCAGAGCCATTTGTCCCGGTAATGAATGCTGTTTGTAACCTTTCACACTGGACACAAAAGCCGGATGTTAGCTGGTGTTGGTGTGGGTTTTTTTGTCCAGTGGGAAACGGGCAGAACACACTCAATGTTTGTTTTACTGTCATTTGTCATCCGTCTGTACATCGAGATTTGCTAATTGTTCTGTAAATTCAATTGAGAAACTGTTTGTAGATTAAATACCCAGGTAGCAATTGTGTTATTCAAACATGAAGCTATTATTTCTAGCTTTCCAAACAGAGTAGAGCATCTCGTCCCCGCTAAGTGAGACACTGAACATCCTCCCTGTTTGTCACTTTGCTCAACGGCGGAAAGTCCACCCCAAAGAAAAACGTCCAAACTGAAGTCTGGCCTCCGTCCACAGGAAACTGGAAATGTCAAAACACTTTCTGGATAAAACAACCTTGACAGATTGAGAAAGTCGTCCCTGGGCGGCAGCTGTCTGTCCGTCCGCTGTTTAATCAGCAGGACAATGGTAGTGGGCAGAGATCCAGGACTAAATATAGCCTCCTTATGGACCACTGTTGTCAAGGCACTGGGACCCACAACACCAGCAACGGGAACTAGTGGGAACTGGGAAGACAGACAGCGGGATGTAGTCATTTTTGTCATTCCAGAGCTTTCTCATCATGATTTGTAACGCATCAAGTTCGATGGCACAATGCATCATGTGTCCATCAACAGAACACTCAAAAATCACGTGTCTTGTCTGCAGACTGACATTTCTGAGTTAAGTGTTGTTGTTTTCGACGTGTTGAACTGGCTCATGTCTCGTAGTGTCTTCCTGCCAAACCTTCCTCGTGGCAGACATCTTGTAACTATGCTACGAGGAATTTCCGTCCGTCCTTCGCATATCTTGACAACCGATCTGCTTCCTTCTTGGCGGATGTATTGCTGGAGACCCAGAGAGACGGGCAGTGTTGAAGTCTGCAATTGGCCAGATGGTGGCTCTATGGCAGCTAACTTTATTCTTTGGCCTGTAACTCTTGAACTGTCTCTCCTGGGTTCAGACGAATCTATCCATTTGTGTCTAGATTGATTTTCTGCCATTTTGAATTGTTACCAAATCAGATTTTTTCGCCGCTCTAACTTTGGTACAGACCATCTGTGGACCGGGTCGGAAAAGGTTACTTTTTCAGAGATTTTTGATGTTCCGTTGAGTTTTGCTCGAGCTAGCTCAAAGCTTGCTGTAATGCTGTGGGCAGGGCTTAAATTAGAACAAAAAGAGTCGTATCTCCTGAACGCTTTGTGCCATTGTAACCACATTTGGTGGACATGTGTAAATATGATGTCTGAGTGACCATTCCAAAATTGATGCCAATTTGTCAATAGGTGGCGCTGCACCAGCATCACCTAACTATAAATCAAGGAATCTCTGCATGCATGTGTGTGTGTGTTCTTCACATATCTCAAAAATCGTCCATCCGATCTACTTCACACTTGGCGTGTGTGTTGCTGGGGGACACCCATGGACATGCAGTGTCGAGTTTGGTGTAATTTGGACACACAACACGTTCAATATTGATGAACTTTGAATAAACAAGTGAACGGCAATCTGTGCAGCAGCAGCAGGGGGCGGAGCTTCAGCTCTGTGGACTGGAGTCTTAACAGGCTGCAGCTCATTGACTTCAGTTAATTTCTGCTGCATGATCGGGCCGCTCCGAACGAGCACTGCACTGGTTTTTACATCAAAGAGAGAAAAAACTAACATATTATAATAATGACTGCATTCCATTAAGTGCTTTTGTGTGTTGGCTCTTTGTCGTAACTTAAAAGCACATCTAAATAGAGCCGAGCTGCTCCATCCACCATCTCTCTTCATCTCCCAACCTACTTTCATTGGTCCTCGTCTCCTCCTCTCTTACATAGTTTGCTTAAATGATAAAAGGTCACATACATGTAGGAGAGGAGTGTGTGCGTGTGCTGGTTGTCAGAGTGTGTTTAGGTCTGTTACTACAGCAAAAGCGAGTGGAAACAGCTCCAGTATGTGCCGGGTGATGAAGAGCAGAGCAGCGAAACCACTTCACTGCTAGTAAACATCCGTACTTCCGTGTTCCTCGCTGGCTTTTCTTTAATATTTCAGACAAGATTTAAGAGTAAGCGAGATGGTGTGCACGTGTTGTTCACTTCCATTAAAAGCATTTTAATCCGATAATAAGACAAAGAAAATATCTTTTAAATGTGTCGCAGCTCTTTGAATTGGTCTTTAATTTCTTTCGTTAACATATTTGTTGTAGACTTGGTGTGTTTTTATGCATTATGACTGTATGCTGTACTCTACTTCACCAGAAGTAGTAGTCGATAAAATGTATTATTATGAATGTGTTCCTTTAAATTACACATTGACATATGCCGTCTCATCTGTTGCTGTGGAGAGCTCCTCTGATCTGAACTCAGCCCTTCCGCCACGTCTGGTTCTCTCCTCCCAACAGCTAGCGGGCTGTACTCAACGTCATGTTTCTGTTACATTCAAAGCTTCTATTGAGGATTTCAAATGAAGCTTGGAAGGTTTGTCGTATGATGTTGAGTTATTGTGGTTATACGACTGTAATCTATGGTGCTGTTATGCCTCGTTAATACAGGTGCGTGAAGGAGGGCAAACTGTTGTTTTTTAAAGGTTAAATGCCAACAAATATGGATCGAAGCTGAATATTTCGTTCGATACAAACATGTTGTGAATTTTGGAAATGATTATATCTTAGATCACAGTTTCCGCTGGCGTTTCATCATATATTACGACACTTTTTATTTGTTTCAGCCGTATTTAAAAATGTGATTAACAATTTTAAACAGCTCCTATAATAAATATTTAAACTTAGGGATGAAATTGTGCTCGATTGTGACTGTTTTCTTAGTGTTTTCCTAATTTTAAGAGTAGTTGACTTCCATTTAAACGGTAAATTGGTCGTTAGGAACATCCCTCATTGAGTGAGGATCTGAAGTCAGATTAGATGGATTTATTTAAAGTAAACTCATCTGTAATCTTGTGTTGTGGCTGCGGTGAATTGGCCACAACAAGACAGTAGTTGACAGAAGAACCTGCGGCTGAGAACGTGTGTTGGCTTCAAGTTCCGTGTATTAATTGTCACAAAGAACACTAACCCACCACGGCCACGACACACCGATTCCCAGGTGATTGGAGAATGAATGCAAACTAACTGAATAAAATACAAGCCTCAAAACAGACAGATCCAGGATCAATATGTCTGGTACGGAGTCAGAATACTGACAACAGGGCGGTGGGCGTATACGTCAGACATGAAAGGGTTCGTAAACGGAGTTCCCACAGCAAGCGCAGCCGCGCATCCACGGCTCCACTATTAATACACATCAGTGAGTCGTGACTGACCTTTATACTCCGGAGTGAACTCTTTCATTTCTGGAGGCAGAGACTCGTAGAAGCGCTGCTCTCTGCTGATCAGAGGCTTGCACACCGTGTGGTCGTCATAACGCATCATACTGGTGTGACCCCCCACCTGCACACGCAAATATGAAAACAATCAGCACAAAAACTTAAACATCTATTACAGCCATCGACATGGAGCTCCATCGTTATCTCCGTATGTTCTGACACACACGCCGTTACTGCCCACCTGGTGTACGAAGGGCTCCAGCGGGACGCCTCCTGGCCGTGGTCGAAGTGCAGCCACTCCTCCTTGCCCCGCCCCCTGTAACTTGTTGTCCATGATGTTGGTGTGAGGGAGGCACATGGCTCCTGGCGGACGCACCGTGCCTCCTCCTGCCAAGGAGAGAGGGATGTATTAACGGGGGTGTAAAGCCGGTAGCTTCGGAAACGTCCTCTGCCAACACCTTTAATTTTAACGTGTCGTTCAAACCTCTTATTTTCCAGTGTGACCGGCCCTAAGGTGCACATGTTTGTTACTTACTAGGGCTAGATATCACTTTAAATGTTTTCATGCTACACCGGATCGTGAATCAACTTTTCTTTGGGATAACACAGTTTTCCAATCAATCAATACAAAATGTATGAATAACTTTTTCATTTTATATTATAATTATTATAAAAGATTACAAATCTGACCAGACAGTCGACGTCAGCGTTTGCTACTCAGTGTATCAGGTGAAGTCTTTGACATTTGAGTTATTGTGAGGACGCGTTTAGGTTCAGACCTGCAGGTTTCACTGCAGCAGTTTGGGCTAAAATTAAACCTCCAACACATAAATTCAACGCAAGCAACATCTTCCCTCTTCGCTTTAGCTCTATTTACACTTTACTTTGTTTCCACCACTGTATGCACATATTTATTACTTCTCATTATGAATATACATTTGCTATATTCCTGTATACATTCAGTTAATCTATTTGCAACACTGTCTCCTGCTAATTTATATTACTTTAATTTGCATTTTCTTTTTAAATATTTCAGCCCTTTATTTTAACTTGCTCTTCTGATGTCTTGCGTGATTTTGTTCTTTTTTTATACATATTTAATGAACATTGTTGGATGGAGCCTGAGATACTCGATTGTTGTCCTTTGTTACTTCTTTAATCTTTGCACAGAAAGCTGTTGTGTTTAACTGACTCAAACTTAAAAGGTCTCTTTAAAGTTGCTGTCCGCTGACATTTTATTTATCTAAAATATTACAAACATGTCTTTGTTTTTGATTATCAATCAAAAGGAAATGATGTGTTCATTTGTGTTCATGTCCACAACTCTTGGTTTGAACTCTGAAATTTTTTTTTAAAGACTAAAACAATTCTACGACCTCCAACTGACGAACTGGGCTCTCCACTGTAACACATCACAGGTGGTCTCTGGTCCTGGTCCTGGTCTTACCTTGGGCATGGGTTCTGGTGTGCAGTGACGGGGAGGGGGGGGCGCAGGGCACCACGGGCTGCTGGGAGCGCACGCCGGCCCCGGGGGGAGGCGGCGCCAGACCGAAAAACCACCTCGCAAAGCCTCCAATCAGAGTGCTCCAATCCACCGCCGGCAGCACCGAGACCCAATCAGGACAGTGGGGTGGGGTGGGGGGGGGGGGGGGGGGGGTGAGGCAGAGTTGTCAGGAAGGTAGAATCACCACTTCCTGTGGAGAGAGGAAATAATACCACGGTGAGTTTAACATGTGTCTGAAGTTAGTGTGAGGAACTTTGAACTGGTTATGAAAACAGTCTCAATGTAATACTGAAGTCTCTGTTTGAAGTTATTCTTAATGCTCGTCATCGGTGCCACCGGGTCGGACTCTGGTAAAAATCTGATGAAATCATGCAGGTTCACCAAAAACTCCTTCAGCTCAGACTGCAGCGGGCAGAAGCATAACCAGAACCAGAACCAGGACTGAGTGGACCCTGCTGCAGTAAAATGAGAGGTCTTCTAAAGGGACTCTGGTAATCAGAACCACTATCGTTCACATCGCACGCAAATCTGTCTCTCTGTGCACGTGTTGAACCACACCCCCGTCATCACAACCTTTAAAACACACATGTAATTAAAAATGAAGAGAACTATTTGTCTCTCTTTGTTGTTAACTAAAAATGCTACTGTGCTTGTTACACCCGTCTTTGTCCCTGAACAACCCTGAGATGACATCATGGGTGGAGGTAACTGCTCCACCTGTCCAATAAGATGCCAGATTAATTTCAGATGGGTGGATGGGGGGTAGACTGTGTGTGTGACAACTTTACTGCGATTGTCTTCCTCTCTCTGTTGAAGTGACACTTTTCTTTAGCTTGACGCCCGTCTCTAAAGTTGCATTTTCAAACATTCAACGTGTGTTTTTCATCAGATAATGACACAATGTGTTTGACTACAAAGACAGAATCATTGTTTTGGCTGAACTAGATTGACTGAAATATCCAATATAATCTGCTGAAAAAAGGACATTTGACACAGGACTAAGATTATATTTAAAAAATAGCTGCAAAAATAAAGATTCAAAAACATTTTGACTAAAATGTTTAAACATTTCAGCGATTAAAACTGGACTAAAAAGTGACTAAAACTAAAAAGCTGCATATTCTTCTTTAAACTATTTCTACGACTAAATCTAAAATAGCAGTCAAAATAACATGGACACTGATCTGCACCTTTATTCCATAATGTGTTAAGAAATGACCATCGAGTTTGGGAACTCAACCGAAAAAAGGTAACTTACTGCGGCGGCAAAAAGGTTGCAGTGAAACTTTTTTGGTGCACCTCAATGACGAAGTTAGCAGCCAACGTAAAACCTCAAAACTTTGAGCTGACAGACAAACCCTGACACACGATGTTACACCGTGTGCTCGCTCAGCACAAAACAACAGGTCTGACGTAACTGAGTCTGAACCAGCTTAACAACACACGCTGATATTTCTGGGCATGTCGCCGCAAATGGTTGACATCTAATGTCAAGCTAACACGTTGGCTTCGACCAGACCGTCTTACACACACACAGCACTGTCAGAGTCAGAAGAGACGCTTTGTCTCATCAACAAGGAAGAGTTTGAAGCAATTAAAGTATGAGGACATTTTTTAAAAAAAATCAACTGGGACCCTAAACTTCCTGGAATACACTTTACATCCCAAACAACTGTAATGAAGTCCACGGTTTTGTTGTAACGTCCACAGATGTCCTGCCAGCTCTCTGCTGATGTAGAACCATCGTCAGTAAATGAGAGGATCTTATTGTTCCTGAGTCCACAGTCCAACCAGTCACAATACAACCAGGATTAAATCATCTGTTGCTGAGGAACATCTCCAATAGAAACCACAGTAATGAATGATTAGCATTTGAAACGATGACACCGGAGACGATAACAATGCCAGTTCTGTTTTTTGATGATGGCCACATCAAACAGCTGAAGACGCCACACAAATGTAACGGAGCTCGGTTCTAAAACAATGTGAATTCATTTCGGAGAACAAGTACATTAGTATTTGAGGTTTATGATGTTAAAATGTATGCACGAGATGACGGTCGTGTCTTTGAAATTCATCACAATTAGACGACAAAAGGGGAAATTCACACAATCTGGTTTATCGAAGAGACTTCTCCAAACAAAAAGCAGAGATGTATAAATCTACGTAATTTACACTGATGGTGTCCTGGTGACCGATACCATATACATTAGTGCAGATGGACAAAAGTATGTGGTCACCAGTGTCTCCTGGTTTGGTCGTATCCGTTCCATTGAAGATAAAACGCTGCAGATTAATGGCCACAGTTTTGGAATAATGTTCATCCGTCACATACGGATGAAGTGTTCAGGTGTCCACATACTGTTGTCTATAGTTTTCCTGTTTGTTTTTCCTCCTCTCCTCTTTCCTTTTCTCAAATCCCCCCCCCCCCACTACTACCACCTCTCCCATCATGCACCTCGAAGCCGCCCCAAAATGACTCATCATCGCCTGCCTGAAGACATGAGATGAAAAAGTGGGAGGAACAAAAGAAGAAGAGGATTGAAAGATCCATTAATGACGTCACAGCCTGCTCGTGTGTGTGTTTCTGAAGGCATCATCTGGTCAATGTCAAAGCTGCAGCAAGGCACGACACTCGCTGATGATATCACGATATGGGCTCAAAATAGCGGAGTAACGGTAAACACAACCTCATATGGTTCAGACACGCCGAGACATTTCTACTAACTTATATACCTCACACAAGACAACGTCACAGGTCGTCTTAGAAATCTATTTAATGCAACATTTGAACCGTGTTCAGCTGAGAAATACAGAATAAAATACAATGTGATATTAATGGCGTAATATGTCTGTCCTAGTTCCTTTAGAAATGCAGAGTTTCTCCTAAAAAGTGTTTATAAAGTCCAGCTGATCTGATCAATACAAACATTAAACTACCTTCAGCCATGTGTTCGATCTGCGGTAAAGATTCGTATTTTTCCTCAAACACCTCCACCTGATCGTGATGATTACATTGTTTGTCTCAACTTTTCACAAACACAAAAGGTTGTATTTTTTCCACCTGGCTGCTCTGATGAACATACGATGTCATTGATCAATCAGTCGCCTCTCGTGATCAATGTAGTGACTACGTGATGTTTAAACAATCTCCTATGTGGCCGTTGCTCGTTTTCCCTGAAGGTTAAAGAGCCTTATATTACATTTATTCTAGCATTAGCACAGGCGCAGTTTATTTAAGCCAATTCATTGATTGAAAGAAAATACATCTGCAACTATTTTGATAATCAGTTGAGCAAAACAGTTGCTGGTTCCAGCTTCTCAAATGTGCTGTTTTTCCTTCATCATTTACGATAGAAATAAACGTCTTTTTCAACAGAACCCTCAATTCTCTCATTGATTTGACTACGAGTGAGCTGCTCACATGAGGATCTGCAGACACGAGACGCTTCCTGAAAAACCTTGAAAACCTCAAACCTCCAACATGTCATGAAGGTAAGGAAGGCCTCCAACCACACTGTCCCTGTTGTGCAGAAACACACACCGGCACTGAGCCCACACCACAGGCAGCGATCACGACTTCTCACAGCACGGCGCACGCATTCAGCCACCATGGAAATTCAACATCTAGCTCTCTGATCTCGGGTCACGATCCAAGCATGACCGAGCCTGGGCCCCAGATGCAGGCTGGAGCGCACGCACGCACGCGCACGCACACGCACACACACACGCACACACACACAGTAAACAGTGTTTCCCACGAGCTATGAATTCTAAAGTTAGAGCGAACAGGACACATTAGGTCACATCTGTTCTCGGATTCCGTGATGATCCACAACTTCTAACATCACCCACACACACACACACACTTCAAAATATAAAAACGTCTCTCTGAGGTCTGTGATCCAGCTGAATACTCACATATTCAGGATGTGCCAAGAGGTTATTAATTAAAACTTTACATTTTTAATGGTCGATATCTTATTGATAAAAATGTTGTGTAGGAATGTTCCAATACCATTTTTTTTTTACTTCCCGATAACGATTCCGATACCTGAACTTGAGTATCGGCTGATACCGAGTAACAATCTGATACCGGTACGTTAAATACAACAAAAGTTCATAATTCCCCCTCTTATATCCATTTTATATGTGAAAACGTCTCCTGAAAACGACGGTATTTATTCTCGCCAAAAACTGTACAAGAGTGCATTTTAAACACTTGATAACGTCATCATAATGTTACGTTAGCCGTTAGCTCCGTATTCGGCCAAGCGAGTGAATCTGGCAACTCACTTGCCAATAAAAACAGAATTAAAAACACATTTTTACCAGACATTACAGTGGAAGAAGCTAAGCAGTGAGCCGTCTTATTCTTTGTATCGTTGTTTTAGAAGCTGTACAGCACTTTGGTTGTTGTTAAATGCTCTCTATAAATGAGCTAACTTAGAAAGTGTATTCATCTTGCTTCCCTCTCATCTCTGTTGAGAGTTGCACATGCAGATTGCCGAGTAAAGACAAAGTTTACCACAAATAAATTAAGAAAAATGTAATTGGGACCGGCAGTTATGTTGAGCCCTGGTGTTTAGCGCTTAAACTAAGATGGTGAACGTGGTGAATATTACACTTGCTAAATGTCAACATGTTATCATGATTAGCATGCCGATGTTAGCATTTAGCTCAAAGCGCCGCTGTGCCCGGGTTCTGTACAGCTAGCATGGCTGGTGGCAGAGATCAGAAGGAGTCTGGTCGCACAGAGGTAGGTCCCGGGGTATTAGGTGAACAGCTGGTGTTCGGTAACCCGTCGGTACGGTGGTCTCTCTGTTAGTCGGTCTATATGTGTCTCCAGTGAGTTCCTGGAACACAGACAACAGGTGTGTGTGTGTGTGTTTCCAGCGGGCAGCGTCCTGTATGGAACAGGCTGCTGGAGGGCGAAGTCAAGTCCGACTCGCCTCCTCCTGCTGTCTCCTATACAAACTATCATCCTCCTCCTCCTCCTGTGTCCTTCATCCTTCATCCCCAAATCCCCTCCCGTCTATATTTGAATCCCCTCCTTCAGTTCGTCTTCCTCCTTGTGCTGGGCGATCAAAACAATATTTTGACCTCAGTACTGATTTAATATGAC